AAAATAAAGCAAAAGGTCACGAGTTCAGTGAGTTAGTGGTAGAAGAACTCAAAGCTATATCAGGCGTAGCCGGTTAACAGCTTGTATAGCCTATATAACAAACAAACACAAACAATTAACAAACAAATTTTAAAAATCAAACAAAATAAAAAATACCCCCGCCGCAGCAAACCTGCAGACTAAGCGAATTTCCATTTGCCTGATTGGATTTACGCTAAAATGTCTCCTTAAAAATATCACATTTATTCCATATTTAAATAAACATTAGTTTAACGAGTACTTAGGTTTGCTGCAACAAGGAGGGTAAAAAGGTGTTTTTTTGTAAAATGTTAATAGTTTAGTATGAAATGAATGCATTTTCCAAATTTGATCAAAATATGATCATAAACAAGCAAACTACAACAGTTTACTTATTCTCCATAAGAATAACATGGGAATTTTAAATTTACAGTTTTTTGGAATTTTATCCGTAACCAATAGGCGCATAATAACGCTTCAATATACTAAATTATTTGTTTTTTCAAGCTCTACAAAATGGTTTGGAAAGAAAATGCTAAATTTTACGTTTTTAGGGTCAAAAATGGGAAAACCAATTTTTGTCCCAAAAAGCCCTGTTCCCATAGTCCGATCATGCTGGTTCACGAACTCGTTTGAATAAACGTAGGTTTACATGTTTGTACCAAATTTAATCAAAATCGGATGGTTTTTGCTCGAGTTATCGCGCTAACGGACACACACACACACACATATATATAGGTGAATTTGAACGAATGGTGTTTTTGGTCTCTAGGGACCTTAAAACGAAAAAGTAAATCGGTCCCGGGTCCAGGTCTTACCATGAGTACTACGGTAATAGCTTATTCCCTATAAGGGAAATTCGCTAAAAACTAATAACTTGAATAAAAAAAAAACTCCCATAATAGCGTAAAATATCAATTAAAATAGTAAGTTAAGATAGGCTAACTTCATTCCTTGTATTAAATGATACTTAAAAATATTATTGTTAGTTTTCAATGCATACTTAAAATTACGAATAATCGTGTACTCGATGGTAATAACCTCAAATAAACGTAGAGGGCCACATTACTTGTAACCTACTATTTATCCCTGATTCGTGGTGGTTAAATATTATTGGTATCATTATTATCTTGTTATTTAACACCTCAATTTATTTACTCAATGTACACCCAATAACATAGGCTGAGGATTTACCCGTTGATTGTTTAACTCATCAGCTGTTTTAATTGTTAACATTTTGTCTGTGCTAACTTAGTTACCATCTATTTCCCACTGAAGTGGAAAGTGAACGTTAAACATGCAAAAACAAAGGTTATCATTGAGTTCGTTGAAGTAGAAAGTTATTAGTAGAGATAACAGCTAATTACTGAACATCGGATAAAGGTAACAACTGTTGTTTACAAATCGAAGGCTACTGATTAAGTAATTTTCATTTGGGTCTGACAGTTTCGGACCTAACTTGCATGTAAACCAAGGATAACCCAGATGATGAGCACAATTCTGAGAATCGCGCCTCCACTTTCAAGCCCAGAACCGCTCTTCCCATTGTACTGGTGTGAACTGCTCACAAAACCTTCTAATGAGTAAATATAATAAACCTCCAATGTCTTACCCTCCATTCTAATTACGCTATTGATGATAAATGTACTTGTAATTTGTAGGAAGTGCGGTAAGAAGTAATTACAGAAAATTAAGTAAGTACAAATAGATGATATGGTTGTGTAGAAGATTGATTACTCACCCAACGTGGTATGAAACCAAAAAAAAGAAAGTCCATTGAAACTACTGTAGACAAACATTAGTATCATAATTGACTACAAAAATTGAGTGTCATCTTCTTTGGTCAATGGCCACCATAGAATAAATAAATGGATGATTTAGTCAGTCACACAAATTAGCTTATTCGATTCATTTCAATCAGCTGTGTTGGTTCAAAATTGTATAAGCTGTCAAAACTAACAAAATTAATTAAGTTCTAATTTTCGTACTTTGCTTCCGTAGACTAAATCAGTGATTTAATTATTCTATAAAATTTAACATACAATTTTTATATGATCCGATTTTTACTAATAGTCAGGTTGGGTAACAGGAAAATATTTCAGTTCTGGCAGAGAGGCTGCAATTTTAGGTGGTTATAGTATACAAGTTTTTGAACCTAAAACCGCCCAGACCCCAATTTTTAAGGACCTCGGTCGTCCGTAATGACGTCATCAAAATGGCGGCCGTAAGAGGATGCTGGGTCCCCATGAATTGGCTATAACGACCGAATGCCTGAACCGATTTTCATGAAATTTGGCACACAAGTGCTTTAATATATTATGTCGGCCTGGGTTGAAAATGGTCAAGTTTCATCAAGTCATTTCAAAATGGCGGCCATTCAAATCTAAAAAAATTATGAGGAAAATAATTGTGAATTGTTTTATACAGGGTGAGTTTTCAATTAGTTCCTCCCTACTTTTTTATACATTTCTTAAGATATCAACTCCGAACCACGTCAGATAATTGTAGAGTAGCGATTACTTCATTTCGACTAGTTTTTATTTTATCCGTTTTTTGTTATCATGCTTTCTTGATAAAATATAACAATTATTTTGATTTAAAATGTCAATATTTCAAAAACCAAACATGACAATGAAAAACGGATTGCGGCATTGAATTCAACATAACAAAGTAGTTCAAAATGATGGGTCACAACACCACCTTCATATTTAAAATAATTTATCACATTTCAAAATGGCGGATCCAAGATGGCGGCTGAAAAAAATACATCCGTCATAACCGAGTGAAAATAGGTCAACAATGAATGGTGGTTTTCTTATCTTTAACTAGCACTATTTTGAGATTATGGCCTTAGTTTGTAAATGCACAATGTTATAATGGACTAAAAATAAAGTTATAAAAAGTTCTCATAACTTTAGAATGGGTCAATATTTTTTTAAACAGATTGCAGCATCGTATTCAGCGTAAAGGTTTTGTTTGAAACGGTGGGTCACAACCCTATCTTTATATATGAAAAAATAGCTTTGTAACCAAAATGGCGGATCCAAGATGGCGGCCAAAAATGTAAACCCAGTCAAACTGAAGTACTTGCTACTCTACAATGATCTGACATGGTTCAAAGTTGATATCTTAAGAAATGTATAAAAAAGTAGGGAGGAACTCTTTTAAAACTCACACTGTATAAAACAATTCACAATTATTTTCCTCATAATTTTTTTTAGTTTTGAACAGCCACCATTTTGAAATGACTTGATGAAACTTGACCATTTTCAACCCAGGCCGGGAAAATGTATTCAAGCACTTGTGTGCCAAATTTCATGAAAATCGGTTCAGGTATTCGTTTGTTATAGCCAATTCATGGGGACCCAGCATCCTCTTACGGCCGCCATTTTAATGACGTCATTACGGACGACCGAGGTCCTTAAAAATTGGGGTCTGGGCGGTTTTAGGTTCAGAAACTTGTATACTATAACCACCTAAAATTGCAGCCTATATGCAGCTATACGACCCCACTATAAGTAAAATTATTGTAACACAAATAGTGGTGCAATCTTGCGAACTATTGTAATACTTTATTTGAGCTTTTGGTATGTTCAAGGGCCGGGACTTACGGGACATGACTATAGGAATAACCTTGAGTCCCTAGTCGACATACGCAATACTCCGCTACCAGAGCTTGAGCGACCACAATGTAGACATCAGTTTGTCAACAAGATGTCTCAAGGGCGGTCCTAGACATATATTTTGGGGGGGGGGGTCACCGGGGGGCCTGGGGGGTATCGAATACCCTCCAGCAAAGGAGGGGGGTCCGGGGGAAAAATTTGGAAATAACATGCTAAAACAAGTGGTTTTGAAGCTATTTTGGGGGCCTAGTTTAATGTGTTCAAGCTTCCCAGTTTATTTAAAGGTCAAAGAAATGTCTACTACAACTTATCGGTCTCATTCCGGTTCCTCGACGCTGCCACTCCAGTGCTTCCAGTCCACGACTGCCCCTAACTCTACCTCTTCCCTACTCTCCTACACGACTAAAGTGGATTGAACCGGTTGATAGCGGCTCAGCTGTGACGCAAGCGTCATAAACTCCCCGGCTTGAAGAAAACTTTTTTGATAAGGTGGGAAGGTAGGGTTTCAGGTGGTGCCACCCCTGGTGGTCGCGCCAGACTTTGGGCACTCGGTGACAGTGGTGGTGCCGTTTGAGTTCGCCTTCTCCAGCGTGTCGCGGCATGGCTCCGTGGTGCTCATGGACATTCCAGCGGCGGGCCAGAGCGACGGTCACCACTGTACTTCTGAGAGCTTTGGTGCTTTTCGGATGTCTGAGTTGTGTTTATGTATTCCTTAATGCAACATTGACTGTGTCTTGATAATACACAAATCACAAATCTGTCGCTGTCCTCCTACTGCGACAGATCTGACCAGTTCCGTAGCAGAGAAGACTTGTAGGCAACTACTTATAATTTTTGCCTATGTTTCCCAGTTGTGCACATGTGTACTACCCCAGTGAGACGATACACTGCATCTAACTGGCTGGGTAGCTGTGATGTTATAGTACTCCCTAACAATTAAAAGGTTGCTGGATTGATCCTGAGTCAGTAGCTTTTTGATGGTTTGAAACTGGGTTTAGCTGTTCCTGACCATTGGGCGTTGAATAAATGGTCCTGTCTTGTAAAACAGCTGATCTTAGTTTGTAACAAACTACACGTGTCTACTGGGTCTTATAGCTCTTTGCAACAATATGGTGTTGCTATATCAACACTACAACAATCTATTTAAAAATTACCTGCTTCAGAACCCACACTTTAGTAATTTTATCATCAATATTTAAATCATTGATGGCGATTTCTTGATTATCAAGAACACCTTTGAAATCCCTTCGGATTGGATTGCAATTATCAATAATGATATGATTGTGCTTGTACAATTGACAAAAGTCTAAATCCGTCGTCCTCTTGAGATTCTTGCTACAAGGTTATGCAATGTTACAGGGGAGGATGTGGTTGAGACAGAGCCTATTGTGGAGCAGAGCAAGAACATGACCATCAGGATGGGCAAAGACACGACCATACAATGTCGCATCACTTCTCCTCACCTTACCATCACCTCCTGCGTGTGGCTGTGGGAGTTTGCCCAGAGAGATCGCACACCTACTGTGGTCGCCAACTTTCCTGGTCACGGTGCCAACTCCGCAGACTGCTCTATCAACCTGGTCAAGGTGTCCATGATCCAGACTGGTTGGTGGACCTGCCGAGCTCAGACTTCCAATTCTACCATTTTACACTCTGAACCTATCTTCCTTCAGATATTTGAAGGTATTCAAAATTAGTCATATTTTGTAACTATAGATTTTAACATTATTTTAAGCTTCAGTGTTGAGAATGGTAAAAATATATGTATCGGATGCACAAACTTGAGTAGACACTCGAGCAACCCTCCCTCAGTCAGTATTTTCATAAAGTAATCACACCCCCTTGTAGATCTATAATCCTTGTGGATCAGCTGATAGTTAGCCTACATAAAAATAATGTCACTGTTTATATTGTTTTAGATTATTACTCTTCTTCCAAAATTTAACATTTCAATTGTAATGTTTCTTCCTCTAAAGATCAGAATACCATTGAGTCTTATTGAACAGAGGTCAAGCTAAAAGATTTGCATAATTTTTTAGTGTAGACATAATCTTTGTAGCTGTCCTAAAAACCTAATAGTAATCATTGCACAGGACCTGAAATCAAATTTGAGGTGAAACCAGTGAACAGAACATTCTCCCTGGGAGGACCAGCGGTGTTAGACTGCAAGACTACCATTCCAGTGAAGACATGTGCCTGGAGCTTCCAGCAGACAGGGCAGACAGAGCCTATAGTATTGACCGAGAAACCTCCGAAGAACGAGAAGGAATGTTCTCTGACCCTTGACAATGTCGGTTACGAGCAGGGTGGAGCGTGGCGTTGTGGAGCGAGAACTGACGACGGTGACTCATACACCTACACTGAGACTGCTTACATCCAGGTGGAGCACAAAGAAGGTGAGAAGCAGTACACTTGGCCCTTCTATAGCTAGCACCTCTATAGCAGCTAACACCTTATTAGTTGCTGGCACCTCCATAGTTGCTGGCACCTCCTTCCCTATGTTGCCTAGCACACTCCATGTCGTTAAGATACCTAGAAATCAAACTCTCGTCCATACTAAAAATAGTCTTGACAATCAGAAGTTAATTAAAATTAAGTGTATTAGTTATTACCTATTTTGGTCACCTGCGTTCTTGAGCTATTAGTTTCTTTACACCCTATGTACAGCTTGCTTGGCTTCTTCGGTGGGTTCTCTCATCATATCTTCTATATCACTAATACTAGTATGTATTAGTGAGTATTAGTGAGTATATATTAACACACATCACTGGTATTGCTGTTGAGCTGTACAAGGATAGACTGAAGGTAAGAGCTTTAAGGTATAACACTGTATAGTATAACACTGGATAGATACTTTGATCCTTGCGATGTTACCAGTTTGTTGGTGTGTTTCTCATTCGACCTGGCCACAACACCACTAAAATGGGGGTTTTAGAAGGAAAATATACTAGCTTTTGTGCATTATCTAATTAGTTGATGGTCATGTGTGTGTTCCATGTAGAGGCGTTCCCGGTGGAGTTCACAGAGGAACCCGCAGACACCGAGATGATGGTTGGCTCCAGTGGAAGGCTGCACTGTAAGGTCCGAGAGGAGGCACATATAGAAGACTGTCGCTGGTACTGGACCCCAGTGGGACGCAACCCCGCCTGGACAGTCCTCATGAGAGAGTTCCTCCCTGTCAACAACGACTGCTCTGTAGAGTTTGCGAATGTCACCGCAGATCCGGAGGGCCTGTGGTCCTGTCACGTCAAACCCATTCACTCGACCAAGTTCAAGAGCTCCAAGGCTGCTAAGCTCACTGTTAGAGGAGGTTAGTTGCGAGATTCCTTGGATGAATTTTTTTAACACTTACATTTATCTGCCATAGTTCGTTAAGGTCTTAAACTTTTTTAACAAGTTATGATGATTATAAAACATCTGTAACCTATGGTAAATTTGTCATGGAACAACCTTTTTCTTTTGTGTATTAGGCTTATTTAAAATTACAAGATTTACTGCTAGAGCCTCGAGGAATAACATAAAATTATTTATGTCATACATTACGTAAAAAAATGTTAATATTTAAAATCCTTTCGAAAATATTTCCCATCCCTTCTTTAACAACAGTGTTAATCAACATTTTAATAAAACTCTTGCTTCTTAATACTTATTCGGCTCTGCTATTATTTATGTGGAACAAAACTAGATATGTGTTCACCAAAGAAATGGCCAGGTTTTCTTTAATTCAAGTAGTAGGAATGAAACTAAACAACTTTTAAACTTATACAGTGTGTTTTGGAAATTGATTTAAGCAATTTTAATAATGCTCAATAATAATCTATGTTGAATCATGTAACACATTGATTTTTTAGTGCCAATGTTTTCACATATTGTTTGGTTGTAGCTACCCATATTCAAATATTAGGTGTTTGCTAGTAAACCAATTGGAAAGATTACTTCACCAAAAGGTCTCTAAAACTTACTATATTTTTGACAATGTTGTTTGTTTTTTTTTTGTAATATATTTGTACCTTGTGATTGGCAGAGATGGATGTGTCCCAACTCACCAGGGAGATGTTGGTGGCAGAAGGAGAGCCTCTGGTACTGAGCTGCAGAGCTGAGGAAGCAGTCAAGACTTGCCGATGGATGAAGAAGCCGATGTTTGAGACGGAGTTGAGCCATTGGTCAGTCGTGGACACCTTCCCCTCCAACATCAATGACACTCGAGACTGTTCTCTGCACATCCCTCATGCTAGAGCTGATCACCAGGGACTGTGGCTCTGCGGTGTTCGACTGCAGGATGACCAACCCTTCAAGGACGCCATGCCTGCAGTGCTCACAGTCAAGCCACCTAGTGAGTGAGCAGAAATACGAGAATACTTGAATTCTTCTTCTTGATAGATCATCCATCGTATATTGTGTAGTAAATTTAAAATCTACTCATTATTGTGGCTTGTCTCTAAACTGGTAGGACAAATCTATGTAGTGGATCTATGTAGTGGTTATGTAGTGGACTTTATTTTGTCCCAGTCCGAAATTAGTTGCTCCGAAGATTTTAATGCTGTTTGCTTTATGATCAACAGATGCCATTGTCAAGAATTTCACATTACAAAGATGTGAAAGTTGGTTGCTTACATCTCCAAGGGGTTCCCGTACACACAAGAACACAGGGACACGCACTATCCAAATTATGAAACTAAACTATTCTATTATTACTCCATACAAACATATACTTGACACATAAAAAATTGCATGGTGGATCGACGTATTTGATCTAATTGGAAGCACATCCTCAAGTTCTCGTAGGGAGTACCTATGCCATTCAGGATTCTGCAACCATCATCAAAAGATCAATTTGATTTTTCAGTAGAGCGGAAGAATGAAGAATATTTTATAGGAGCTCCAGATTTCTCATAATAGAAATCCATCCTCTAGGTTTTACCAGTTATTAGATTGACAAATGATTAAAATGTAAATAGGAATGGGAATATCAATTATTTGGTCAACAAAATTAGTTCAGGCTTGGTTCTTTATATCAATGCTTGTCTTTGTAACAAAACTTGATTGAATATAACTTACTGCTACCTTTTGAGGAATCCCATATTGGCGATGGAATGGACATTTGGTGGAACAGCGACAAAAGAGATAATACACTTATATATTACAAAAACAGGCAAGGCTATTTTAAATAGGAGGAAATTTTAAATCTATGGGCTGTATTAAAGTCAGGGATAAAAATTGTTACAGTGTGCGTGTTGGAAATTTTTCAATGTTGATAACAGAGATATTCAAATGTAATATAGTGGGGAAAATATGACTGTAAAAATTTGAAACCACACCTTTCTATATACAAAGTTTATTTATGAGAAATCTGCCCATCTTATTAAACAATAGCAATAGTGGCGAGTCCGTAGCTCAGTTGGTAGCGTCACGGACTTCGGGCCCAAGTCAGTGATGTCTTGGGTTCGGATCCTGGTCACTGCCACAAACATTTTATCAGTACAGTTCACCTTACCTTTGTACTGTACCGGCTTACCCCTTGCTTTGCTGGATACGTTCCATGCACAGATCTGTAGTCTATGTGGATGGGCAAATGCAAGGTTAAAAGAGGCCGCAAACCTCTTAAAAAAAGCAAAATTAAACTCAATTTATATAGTAATTGAAATTGATGATTTGTATAAATCTAGTTCCCTATATAATACAAGGTGTTCTTTTTAACACAACCCAAATAATTACCCTGAATTATTAATATCCCACTGGCATTATTCAAGAACACAATTTTTAAATTATGTATTAAAATAATTTGATTTGACTGTTTGCAGAAACGATGGTGTTTGCGGAAGTTTCCCGTAATCAGCTGGCTGCGGAGGACAAGTCCGTGACTCTCAACTGCTCCACTCTCTCGTCCGTGCGAGAGTGCCTCTGGATGTGGTACGAGGATGAGTCCAAGGTGGCCGAGCGAGTGATGAAGTTCAACTTCAAGACAAGTCCTGACAAAGACAGAGACTGCAGCACCATCGTACTCAACGTAACACGAAGTATGCAAGGAGTCTGGCAGTGCGGGGTCAAGTACGGCAACGAGACTAAGCCTGAAGTCACCTTCGGGCGGCCTTTTAGCCTGACAGTCGTCAAAACTGGTAACAAGAACAGCTGCTGTTTCAAACAAAACATAACTCATTGTTTCCCGTTCAGGAATATAAGACAAAAGCAATAATTTTTTAGGATAAGGGTATAGTGTATAATGAGAAGATAAGGTGGACAAAAACATTGTGTATTGGGTTGATGATATGTTTTCCATAGTTCTGTGTTAACCAGCCGTACTACCAACTTAATTATCATTTATCTGAGTGAATCATTATTGTAAAAATTGTAATGATACTTTTTATTTTTAAATACGTTGCACCCAACCTATTTACAATTATAATAAAAAGTTATTAAAGTAACAGTTGCGAAAAGTAATAAGGAAAAAGGGTAAATTTGAGCTCAGAAAAAGGGTGTCTTAAGTTTGTAGTTGGCTAGACAGTTGCAAGGTGTTGGTTTTAAATTTTTATCGTTACCTGTGAAACTGCAATATGATTTGTATGTTTGATTAAAATACAATTCAGGTTCATAATCACGCCCGAGGCACAATCTAGTTTATAACAGTGCCATTAACAATAATATCCATTTTTTTGATATTTTATAAAACACCACCTCACACATTCCTTCATTCTCCCTATTAAATCTAAAACCACAAAAAATCACAAAGCTTAGACAAACAGGAAATGATGAACTTCCGTTTAAAGGAAGGAAGAAGTAATAGTAATAGCATTGACTATTGGATACTGAAGTAGACATCCCATTTATATGGACCAGCTGTCGCCAATTTTGTATTAAAAAACAATGTAGTTGTGTGAGCCGGTCACAGAATACGTTAGTGTCTAAAATTCTATTTTATTCCTTATCTTTTGTTGCTGACCAGGTTAGTAGGTCATAACAGTTGCTATAGCTTACCATAAGTCATTCCCTTAATTTGATTTGGTAAAAAGTTTGTGTATTCAACAGAATTTAGAAATTTAGATCAGCGCATTCTGTCAGTGGCTCACATCAACTACAACAATTTTGAACCCCTTCCAGCTTCCATAAATCAAACTTGAAACTACTATAGGAAGATAAGGAGAAAGTAGGATGATAAGATTAAGGTAAAGAGGATAAGGATAAGGTATAGAGTTAAATTATTAATTCTACCTTAATATATTCTAGTTCTAGTACTGTAATAGTATATTACGTTACTAGTCCTGAAAATAGGTGTTTACCGGACAAGTGTGAGAAAAGTCGAGTGCAGGATTACCATACGAGTTTGGTAAAACATTTTGGATGATTGACGTACGACAGTTTACGCCATACTACTAAATCTGTTCAAATCCTTATATTATATTACTACCAACTAAAGGACTAACAATCACAAGTCATAACCTCTAAGACAGGTTATGTTTTTGTTAATAACAACTCATCGCCAAATACAGTATAATCAGCTGGTTGGTGTCCGGTAAAACTCATTACAGTACAGTAGTACGTAATAAAGCCCCATTTGATTAAGCTGGCGGCAACCAGCTGTTTTCTGGACTAAATCCTTGTGTGGGAAGTTCTTCAAAATAGTGTAGTGTGGCGTAAATATAAGTATATCAAGTAACAAGAAAAAAAATGATATAGGTAAACTAAAAAATCCAGAGTTTTCAGAGTAACGACAGCTTAGCAAACTTTGAGGGCCATTCACTACACATTCACAAATTCGATCTCATCTTTTCTTACTCTTTTTCTTAAGAACATTATTATACTTATTCCCTCAACACAATTGGTTCCAGGACCTATTGTGTTCCGACACATATCAAACTACACACATGTGGTGGCTGGAGGCCGAGGTCAATTGGAGTGTATTACCAAGGAGCCGGTAGAAGAGTGTAAGTGGTTCCATCAACAGAACAGTACAAACCCGCTCGAGGAGAAGCACAGCTTTCAGCCAACCAACTTCAACAACTGCAGTATGGCTGTGGACCAATTTACTCCAGAAGGGATCTGGATTTGTGCAGCCAGAAACCCTGGGGAGAGAAACTTTACCATGGCAACTCCCTCCAGCCTTACTTTTGTCAACCAAGGTATAGTTGAGCAAAAGAGCAGTTATTTTCATTTCTGTTTTGGAAGCAGATTTATTTTGGTTACTGAATCAGTTATTCACCCAAATATGGTATTGTGTTGTGAGTTAACTCAGTTGTGGAAAGTGACAAGCTTGATTTGAGCTAGAAAGGTGTTCCAGGACCTTTCTTAAAAGGGAATTTGTTTTGGCATTTAAAAGAAGAAAAAAAATCGTAACTAATTTGGATTTATGTAAATAAATCAATTACATATATGAGAGGGAGAAAGATACGGGTGGTGAAGGGAGGAGAGAAAGTAATTTAGTTTTGGTATCTCAATTGTTTTGGATAAAAAATGTTAATATAGAATTTCCAATTACCTGTTACTTTTCAAAAGTTCATGATTACATTATCATAATTTTTTTAATTGAACTATAAAAACTATTAATTAATAGTAACCTATTAATTAAAGCCATCTGTTCTCATCTCATCTGTTCTGATGAGTAGGGACTTATATTCCTGCAAATGGGAAGCACTTTTTTAAACGAGAGAAAAATGCTGTCAATTTCATCAAGTGTAAGAACTGCACATTATATTTTGTTTACATAGTTGTTATGAGACAACTAAATAATGACTCAAACAGTAATTGACATTTGTCCTTTTACCTAGATTTTTGATATTGTACAGTAGTACATTTAGTACAAAGTTATGAGATTTTCCTGGTGAAGTATTTTACAAGTAATTGTCTCCTGGATTGTCCATCATTTCTAAGAATAAAGTCAAAAATATGTGAATTGTTGTGTGTTCAACAAACATTCAACACTGAGGTTTTCTTATAATGGAGCTGCTTTTTGAGGCAATGGGATAAACAATGATTGCCAACTGTAAAACTCACTTATGTTTATTTACTTGTAGGTATCCCAAAAGGAAACACATTTTTCTATATTAACACTTTTTACAATTTAAGTGACTTCAAAACTAGAATACAGTAAAATGTTTTAGCAACATTAGTAGCTAAAATCAATAGATCTACACAACTACTACAATGTTCTTGTAATGTTTAGGAAATGTTTCTACCAGAAGCCTCATTACTCCAGACAACTTGTTGGTCCTCCAATGTGAGATTGCAAAGCCTCTCCCTGGGATGGCATGTGACTGGATCCATCCCTCAACATACAATGTAATGGAGTTTATAGAAACAGGGAAGTAAGTTGCATCTGGAATAATCTCTACATAACAATATATGAAATATTATCTATGTCTAGTTCAAAGGAGTTTTCGCTTCAAAACTTTTAAACATGTGGACACAATACTTCACTATTTTATTACAGACTGAACAAAATTTGGCAAGATGCTAGATATGATGGTAAAACATTATTTAAAAAATCACTACAAGTTTAAAACTGTTAATTCTAAAAATGGTGTTTTTTTATTGCTTAACGGGTAAGTAACCAAGTGGCGTTCAGGCCGGCCCGGAACCCTGCATATTTTATCGTGTGCTGGGAAGCCCCTCCTCCCCCTCTTGGTGGTGTTGGCATTAAGCTCAGTCTCACCGGTCAGGCTGGGGATCTAAGTTGGTGTAGCTGCACAGGCTGCCTACAAACGCTGGTCGATCAGCCACAAAGTCAGGTCCGTTAGTGTTTTCACTTTGATCTTGTTGATATACACCTGGGTCATCTGAGTGTCTACGACAATTGCGCCGTATAGACTTGGTCGTGTTTGCTGTCTTGGTGGTAGCTTCCAAAGGTCTTTGTCTAACCGGCGGCAAACAGTTCTGTGATGTACCCAGGTAGACTGCTTAAGACTACTTTCAGGTTCCGGCGGTCACCACCGTACGTGAACGTGTGGAATAGGACCTTCTTCTGCAGCCAATTTTGCAGTTTCTCTGGACCAATTTGCAGAGTTTTCCAACATAGACTTGCACACCCGGAAGGACTTGTCCCTTGCCAGGGCGATGCTATCTCTGTTGACTAGGTCTTAGGGTTTCACAGCAAGGGCGGGCCACTCAGCTTCTCCTTGGGCAGGCTCGAATGTGGTCTGGTGGGCCGGTGAGGGGGTGTCTTATGATTGATGGGGCTTGCTTGGCCTTGAAAAAGGCTAATTGTAGGTTCAGTTGACTTCTTCACAGCGGGAGGGTTGGCTTCCGTAGGCTTTGCCGGAGGTTGCTTTACTGCCTCTGCTCCAAAAGTATTCTATGGTTGGAAGATCCTGTCCATTGTATACTAGTACAGCTTCCCGATGTTAACACCTTGGAGTCTGTCACTGAAATGCCTTTTGGTGACCGTGGGTCATGGGTGTCGGTGTGGAAGTTCCGCCTAACGAGTGGGGCCCTTTGGGTTTATTTGGCCTAGTAAAAACATTTGGCCTAAAAGTAGCCTGAATCCGGCACTGCAAAACTGCTTTAGCTTAAATCATTGACTTTAGGACACTGAAGTAAGTATCCCATCTATTGTATGGCTCAATGGCTGTCGCTAACTTTTTATTGAAAAAATAACATACTGCTACTTAATTTTTTGTTGCTGACATAGTTAATGAGTCATAACATTTGCTAAAGCTCATAATAAGTTGTTCCATCAGTTTGACTTGGTAAAGAAGTTTAAGCATTCAACAGATATTAGTAATTTACATCGGCACAATATGTCGATAGCTCACATCAACTGCAATGATTTTGATTAAAAACTGGCGACAATTTTAACATGGGGATGGAATGTCTAGTTGTATCAATAGTCAAAGCTTAAACACAAATACAATCTACATTCTTGGTCTTTTGTTGAGAGCTGCGGCAATTTACAATTTACACTGTTTACATTATCTACAAAACTAGACATTTGGACCATGCTATGATGTGGCATCCCTAATGGTAATTTTAGGTTTCCTAAAGAAATTCTTGAGTAAATTTTATGTGATTTACTATTAAAATTTATCTAATTTCAATGTGTTAGCTTACAGTCTAATCCTAAAAGAACTTGTACAGTTAAACTGTTTTACTAAAATGTTGGTACTGCATTCTCAAGACCAATGGTACTTCCACACCAAATGGGATTCTGTACAGGAGTCTTTTTTCTTGCAGGTACACGTTAGAACACAATACTGACTCTAGTGTATGCTCTGTCAGCTTCGTCCCCATCCTCGTAGACATCGGCCTCTGGAAGTGTGTCTTCTCAGTCAACCACCACGTGTTGGGTGAAGGCTCCTTTACAGTCCTCAGTTCACCACAGAGTAAGTATTTCTGAATCTGAGATGAATGGACAATGGCATCCCAATAATATCAGTTGGAATATAGTGTATTTAAATTATGAAACTCTTGGAAATCTTCTCTGAGGAGGTATTGGATGAATCGATAGCTGTTATTTTTTGAGTCACTATAGACAATAGGTTCAATACAGTAAAGACATGACAAAAATTGTTGGTAATATAATTTAATGTATTTCATCGATGTCCCCAATTATCTTTTTGATTTTTAAAGATATTGCAATTAGTACTATATTTCTTTGTACTATATACATACTTTGTACTGACGGATTTTACGGCTTTGGTGGCTGGTTGAAGAAGCTAATAATATATTATACTGTATATACTACTCCATGTTCTCAATGACGTATGCAGGATTTGGTTTGGGGGGTGAGCTGATCCCCCTGAACTGTACAGTACAGTACACTACACCTGTGAACGAGGTGTCCTTATTTTATACCCAGGAAGTATTTCTGTATGTGTCAATAAACGAGTTCTTTATTAAGAAAAAAATAATTTGAAACAATTAAACCAGTCATATTTACTCCTGTGCCTTCTATTAATAATTAAATAATTGGTTTAAAAAATCTAGTCCCCCATTCCCCCTGGGTACGCCACTACATGTTCTGATTGTGTGATTTTCAGATGTGCGTTTGAGCTGGATTGTGGGTGTGTTGGCAACAGTGACACTGATGTTGACAGTGATGCTGTTTATGGTGATCACCTGCCGAGCCTACCACTGTGGTAAAAACAAGAAGGCGAGCGTGAAACTCAATAAAAATGCATGTGAGCGAGAGCCCAACAAAGGCTTAAGTCGATACTCAGAGGATCCCACTTCAGGGATTAACTTCAGTTTCACTGAGAACCCAGAGCTCCTGGTTGACTTCTCTATTCCTGCACCTCCAGACAACCACCATTACGAACATGTGGGCCGCTACATGCCCCAGAGACCCAATCTGTACCAAAATGTTGATTAGTTTGACAAGTTATCTTTTTATCACGTGTCATTTAGCTTTAGTGTTGTAGTGTTGTAAGAGTTATTGTTTTACTTTTGTATAATACGAACCTCCGGTTTATTTTGTTTATACTTGACAGAATAAAGACTTAACTTTTTAATAATTTTGTTCATAATTTAAAGTGTCAAATCTTCTTAATTTGTTATTATAAATAATGAACATTCTGGATGTATGCTCAGTTATTGAGATTGTCTTTGTAAAGGTAGGTAGAACTGTATATACAGTGTGGTAGAAAAGTCCCAGAAAGGTTTATATTAATTTGTTTTACCAATATAGATAAAGTAATGAGACTAAATCAAAAATATCCATAAATATCTTCTCTTTTAAGCTATTATAACTTTTTTATCCCTTAAGGGGGCCCACGAGGAGTCAGAAAAAATTCTTAAATAGCAGCATAGGTCAAGTTTGGTATCACAGTAAAGGTCTTAGTTAGTAGAACACATTGCCACAAACGGAATGCCTCTTTAGGACAACTGAGTCAAACATGACAGCTGTTCAAAGATTCATTGAATTTGCATTGCTATGAGCTACCTCCTCAAACGGCGACTGCGAGAATTGAAAAATCATATCCGTAATCATAGGTCGATACGCATCTCAAATTAAAGATCTTAAATAGTAGAATACGATGTCGCAAATTTGAGCACAATAGAACAACTGAGTAAAAAATAGCAGCCGCTCAAACATTCAAAATGGCAGATTTAAGAAATATTATAACGGCTGCCATTTTTGACTCAATTGTCCATTTGCAGTTCAGGTTTGCAGCAATGTGTTCTACTAAGACCTTAAATTAGATACCAAACTCAACCTATGCTGCTATTGAAGAGTTTTGTCTTACTCCTCTTGGGCCCCTTGAGGGATAAACAAGTTATGTAGCTTAAAAGAGTAGACATTTATGGCTATTTGTGATATACCAGTCTAATTACTTTATCTTTATTGATAAAAAATATATTAAACCGTTCCGGGACTTTTTTACCACACAGTATATTGTTTGTAACTGGACAGATAGATTGTAAGAAGGGGTGCTATGGGTTTTCATCTGGTGGTAACTGTATAGATCCAGGTAGGGGATGCATGATGGTATTCTAACAACCGTTACCCCTTGTTAGATAAGTCCACAGAATAGAGGGTAGCTGCTGGTTACTCTTTATTTTGTGATATATGGTAGAAAGATCTTTGAGATAATTATAAACTTATGTGTTATAAGTGTGATCTAGTTAAAGTGTGAGACTTCTGTCTGAGAGGTATGGGTTCAAATCCTGTTAATCACAGATTGCTTTAATCTATGTGATAATGCAATAACCTCTTGAAACACACCTTAACCTTTAGCTCCACCTGAAAAAAGGTTAGATATGTAGTGGTAAGAGCTTTCTTAGTATTGGAAAAATACCTTTATTAAAATCTTTCCTATCAATTAATTTTACTTTTAACTCATTATCAGTAAAGTGTAGTCATAAGTCAAAATTTCATGATTGCCCAAGGCACCAACAGTGTGGAGCGAAATTTTGTGAAATTTTTGATGAATCATGATTAATTTTTTTCTAACATGGGTCTCTATTACTTTAACATACATACCAAGTTTCATAATGATCAGTTGAAAAACTTTAAACCAATATAAAAATGTTAATGTGAAAAAAAACGAAATGGGGAATATCTAGTTAACGAAGTGACTTTGGAAAAAATGTTATTCTTGATTTTCTCTTTATTTTGAACCATAGAATCATTTCCCGGAGTTTGGCTGTTTACTTACGGGACACCCTGTATATTCAGGTAGGCTATCTGATAAGTCTGTTATGTGCTTCTAACGAATTAACTACTAGGCTGAACCCCCCCCCCCCCCGTCTCAAATCCTAATATCCTCAAAATTCCCCCAAAAAATCTGCATCAAACCCCCCTGTGGGCACTCCTGGTTCCTTCTGATGCCTGGAAACTTTGTATTCCAGTTGGTACAGGTATTTTAGAAATGGGAAAGCTTGGTCAGATTTGATAGGGTCTTCTAACCCTCATTTGAGATCTGACTTAAATATTAAAATCTAATGGATGGCACATTCTATTTTATGTCGATAGCAGTTAATTTTTTCCGCTTTAAAATATGTTCCACCGAATAAAAATGGGAATCTTGAAGTTCAAAAATCAAGGATTGTTTTAGTCGATTAATATAATTAGAAAATTGTTATCAACAGCCTTGTTTATATGATAAAAATACCCAAAACCTAGTATTTTATAGTGATAGCAATGACAAAAATCCAAAGTGGCAATGATAAACATAATAAGGAAAATTTCACTGTTTACTAAGTGCGTCAAATAATCAAATTTTGATGAAAATTTGATACTAAATTTTGATAGAGAGCTGGAAACTTTGGCTCTTAAGTGATTAGCTGAAACTCGGATATGAGTTGGACATGGACCTGGTCACGTATCAATTCGGCCTCATTCATTCTTATCTTACAATAAATTAAATTACAACATTTACAATAGCAGACGATCTGCCTCTGATAGGTTTGATTGTTTACTGCTTCTGGTGGTTATTGTTTTAATGGGAAAAAGTTAAGGGACTTGTTTAGATTTTAAGATCAATATTTTGTAAACAAATGGGGTTTTACCAACTTATTCAGGCAATGCGTCCCCTGAACATTTATTTACTTCAAACAGTCAAGGATAATATATGCAGATTTTTACAAGTAATACATGCATATTCATGGGAAAGCTGCCGATGGCAGATCGAGCAGAGCAGGGGTGCCTACTACCAACTACCATTGACTTTATAACTCCACAATAGATTGTGTAGATATAAAGTCAATGCCACTACCCAGAGCGTTGCGTCTCCCGAGCGCAGAGGCCATAAATTACCAAAGGGTCTGCTCAGTGATGCAGAAGTGACGAGGGTTGTTGTATAGAATGTACCTTCTATTTTAAAATAATATCAATGAGTTTAATCTGTGAACCAGTAAAGGTTACAGTGCGACACTTGGGGTCTCCTAATCCCTCAGGTGCCACACGGCTGTTTGAACGCACTGTAGGTAAGGTTAGCAAGGTTAAGTGCGAGCATCTCCAAAGTATTATCCATATCCAAAGTAGTCGGTAAGCTGAATTAAAAAATATTCATTAAATGTTAATTTAGAATTCGAAACGTATCATGTCTGCAATGAAATGTATGTATAATTAATGTCATTCCAGTGCTGATTGTCTACAATGCTCAATTGGGCACACGCCTTTACCGCAGTTTTTTGCTTTTGTGAATTCCAAATCGGCTGTCAAGACTGTCAGATTATACCAGATAGCCTGCTCGGCGCTGGGGAGACGCGGCGCTCGGGAGACGGAATCCTGCCCAGAGGGGGGGGGGGGGACAGTGATGTACTTGCGCCACCGGGATTTTTGAGAGGGAATTTTATTGTACATATTGCCGGCCAGGTCCAAATTCACCAACATTTTTGGGGTCGTTTCTAATGTCCAAATTCACCAACTTTCTACCTTTAGCAGGTACGATATTTCTCCTGGCGGGCGGGAAAGGAATTCCCTCCGAATAGTTTGCCATCGCATGCTCCGTCTCGTCTCGGCGAGAGTGTACTGTAACCTAACCTAACCTAACCTAACCTAACCTAACCTAACCTAACTTAACCTAACCTAACCTAACCTAAAGCTGCCTGAAACAATCACAGCTTAAACAGTACTATTAGGGCTAAGCAGCACACTCTCGCCGAGACGAGACGGAGCAGGCGAGGCCAAACTATTCGGAATTCCTTCCCCGCCCGCCGGGAGAAATATCGTACCTGCTCCAGGTAGAAAGTTGGTGAATTTGGACATTAGGAACTACCCCAAAAATGTTGGTGAATTTGGACGTAGCCCATATTGCCAATGATCTTATTCCCTTTTTTGTAAGAAGCTCAAACAGTTTTTTTTGTCAAGATCTTGTGCTCTATTAAAACGTACAACACAATTTTGGCTAACCTTAACATTTATTTGTTCACCGCAAAAATGCGGTGTCTTCGTGATACTTTCAAATTCACCACGATCGCGGTAGATGACGATGATGTCGTCACGGCCGTGGGGAAATGTCAAGATATTGCCGTTAAGCTACACTCTTCGGTCCTGATCATGCGAGGCGACAACGACGTCTTTGCAAACCCGAAGGGATCTCAACAAACTGCCGTATGACCCGGACAAAATTGATAACAGGCTGAAAATTGGTGGAAATTTTCAAAACAATGTCCCGAGTGGCCCACATAAAGTCCCAAGAAATCCCATTTGGGGAACGGCCGCCATCTTGGAAATTTAGATATCTTGCTGTATCTTTTGAAGTAATTGTCCGAAAGGCCTAATTAAACGTCTTAAATTAAACGTTTTGGACTCATGTATGAGGGTAATATATAATTAAAGAGTTTAATATGTTCTAAGCATACATTTTATTTATATTAGCCTAAAAATATCTATAATAATGAGATAGATACGGTTATGCCCCCCCCTTTTATACGAATTATGGATATTTATAGGCATGCACGGTGGATGCGATGCTCCCTGGTGTGGATTACCGTCCGCACTCGTGAGTACTACGACTATCCGCAGTACTATCCTGATAATTAGACCAATTCGTTAATTACAAAAAAAATTTGGTTCGGATTTCACTATAAACTGAAGGTCCCTTAGTTGCCATATAGCTGTATGGGCAAATTAACATCTGTGTCTAAGGAACATGACGGCCTTAGTCACTAACAAGACTAAAAGATCGCACCACTCATCCTTCACTCATATTTTGGTTAAAATACGTACATAGTAGCGTCCCCATCTTAAATAATTGATATAAATATACAAAATATTTACAAAACTAAGCTTTTTCTCTTTTTTTGTAATGGACTTGTTAAAGCCATTAAACCCTATTGAAATGTCTGCAGCCCACAATGCTTAGTCTGTAGAATTGGTTAAATATAAATATAATATTCATTTAACTATGATAAAGCTTTAAAGAGGAAGGCAACTAATATAGCTCATGCAATTATTGCTGCAGCTCGACCACGATCTTTCATATTGCCCCTGCTGCTCGACCTTCACAGACGGTATGGCTCGAAGTTACTGTTAAACATTCTATCGTAGCTCGGAGATTGA